GAGGAGGAGGAGGAGGAGGAGGAGGGAAGAGTGAGAAGCAGGCACTGATTAATCAACCTATTAATAGTAACAGGGTTAAAAATAACCTGACGGAATCTTCCGGAAGATCAAAGAAGACTTTGAATAATGTATCGTAACTGCAGCCACTTCTCCCAAGTAATAATATAACTACATAATTAATAGTTAAGTAATTTTAATGATAACTAATCATTTTTCACTGTCATAATTATTCATCTTTGATTTATTTTATTAATTGTTTGCTTAATAATAATAATCATTATTATTATTGAACATAATTATTGCAATAATAATAATTTTTTATTTTACGTAATTATTATCACTCGTCTTATAATTGAATATTTGATAAGAGATGAACCATCATTTAATACATTATGCTGATGGTATTGATATGTATCAGAAAATATCACAATTTTTCAAGTCAGTTTTGATAAATTGCAGTGGATTATGATGAGGAGAAAGAGATCATTTTGACAGTATTTTTGCCAATTCCTTCAAATATGAAGTACATGTACCATCATTTATCAGTTTATATAGTCATTTCATATTGTGTAGACCTATGTACCTACTGTCATTAAAAGCAAAAAATTTTCCTGAGCTTGTTCATTAATTTTTAGTGATAATGAATCTACCTTCTATTTCTCTTCCCATTTCTTTTTTCCTTTTTCCCATACGTACCCCGAGGCACTCTCTCCTATTCTCCTTTAATATTCTCTCCTCCCTCCATCTCTCTGCTCCTCCTCTCTACAGTCCTTACAATAGCAGTTGCTAATAAACATCCAGTTATTACACTACCAACTGATCAAGACATTCTTCAGTACATGGCCTGATTCATCACCAAGTGTTAGTTATCATTATCATTGGAGGAGATTGTTTGGTTTTAAGAAGAGAAACCTCAATGGAATCAATGATAAAACCATCTCATTGAGTCACGTATGTTATAGGGAGGGAGGAAAGAGAGAGAAGGAGGGACAAAGAATCAGAAATTAGAAAATTTTATTTTTAGTCGACATTGAATTTATAAGAGCTACCATATAGGGATATCATTCACAAGAATTTTAATTTTTTTTGCGATTTTAAAAATTTGGGAATTTTTATCTATGATAATTATTTATCATACTAAAAGTGGTCAATAGAAAAAATGCAAAAATTTTTGTGAATAGGTTGAAAGGTAATTTTTGTGAAATATTTTTTCTGACGAAATATAGCCCCTATACTGTATGTGTAAAAAGGGAAACCTATGAACTTTTTGCATGCTTTGTACATTACTGCCATAATTAATTTCTAAACTTAAATGTAGCAGTGGAACTAAGCTACAAAGCCTACAATATAGCCTTATTACCACTAGAATCAAAATTAGACTTGGCTTATTTTGTATAATTACTATTATACATGAAACATGATGATTCAATAGTTCTGGCCATTTTACTACAAATCAAACTCTGTGCATTAAGAAAATTAGTAAATATGATTGCATAGTCTATTTATTTGGTAAGTAAAGTATATTAAAGATATGTATAAAGGTTGGCCTTTGATCTTCATTCTGTTTCCAGCAGTTCATCATAAGTAGTTCAAATGGTTCAGGACAATTTCGGGGTATAGGCATATGATAACCTTTTGATACTGATTCCAGTACTTGTGCATTAGTCATGCCAGGATACGGTTCCTTTCCTTTGGTAGCCAGTTCCCATAGTAATATACCAAATGACCAAACATCAGATTTAATACTCAGTCGCTTTAAAGTATATGCTTCAGGTGCTGTCCATCTTATAGCTACCCTAGTTCCTTTCTCAACAATCCAGTATTTTTTGCCATTGAGGTGTTGGGCAAGATGAAAGTTTGCTATCTTGACAGTGTTATGGTCTCCTAATAGTATATTCTCTGCTCTTAGATCACAATGAATGTAATCTTGTTCTCCTAGATAAATCATACCATCAGTAACTTGAATAGCAATGTCCACCAACTTCACTACTTCAGCTTGTGTAGGAGGCCTATTCAGATAATTTCTAAGATTTTGATGCATTGGCTCTGTTACAATATAAAATGGAGTGTCTTCAATACAAACACCATATAGACTGATGATGTTCTTATTATAGAATTTTCCTAATATGTTGGCCTCTTTGATAAATGTTTTTTGTGTAATATCTGTTGCTATATTTG